CCCCAAACCCCAAAACCCCAAAACCCCAAAACCCCAAAACCCCGAGGTGCTATAGTTAGCTTAAATTATGAAGACAGAAAGAATAATAATTAGAGAAAATATCACTTAGAATCTAATTTAATCGAGTGATAGATCCAATAATTTTATTATCTCAACATCTTGCAATATATAGTATTAAAATATTATTTTCCAACCTCAGAATGAGTAGAAATCCTATCGAACGCGTAAAGATGTAGGATAGAAGAGCATCTTCTATAAGTACAAATGACAGCGACAATTCTTTTACATCGGAATTCATGTCTCGCAAGTCATAATTCGCATAAAAGGGACAAGTATCCGTGCTCGACTCATTGTCAAGGATTCTATGTGTAAGTCATTTAGATTTATATACCATTCTATATAGAGTGAGCAATATTTTAAAATTGTTTCCTGGACCAACTCTGGTAGAGCCTTTAACATTAAAGATAAAACAAAGTTCATTAAAGAAATACTTCCATTATTATTTGGGCATTAGAACTTCCCTTCATTCGTTCGTTAGGTATTTATTTTGTTCAGTTTGGCTTTGGTGGTCCTAATTAAATTTTCAATTTAGATGAAAGCACATGGATTCAAATAGCTTAAAAGAAAAGAAGGTTTATCATTTTACCTGAAGGGCTTCTAAAAGAACAAACCTTACTAAGATTTGCTGAGAGACTAAAGGGATAGAGGCTACAGTTCGGATGGAAGCTATATATCAGGTTAGGATCAAAATGCTTAAATGATAGATACAAGACTCTATAATAATAATATTAATTTAAGTGGAGCACAAATGGATGCTAATACATCCAACATACACGTGGCACATTATCCCTTCAACAATTCCAACCGCTAATTGCCCGGCTGGGAGATGATTTAGCAACTTGTAAAACTCGTCAGATTATATATTTATAGATTAAGGAGAATCAGAAGCGCAGTGAGGCTATTGAGAATAGTTTGAAAACTCTTGAGGATGACATTGACTCATCAATATTTAAACACAAAGAGTAAGACCGCGTATACCAGCAATCAAGGTAAGATTTCTAAAATTTAACTTTCTCAGCAACAAAGACCTCACTAGAAAGGTTCACATTCTCGAGAGAGCTATGACATTATTAAATAACAAAGGTATCTAAAGCGAGGAAATGAAAAATTCAAATAATTTCAAACCTAAATAAGAAACTGCAGCTCACTCCAAAAAGAAATCTACTTTTTCGAGGCAATCTGCTAATCAAAGGTTCCTTGATGATTTTAACGTGTCTTCTGAGGAGTAGGAAGAGCTAAAGTAAAAAGAGACCTTCAACCATAACAATTAGCTTCACTCTCAAGTCTTAAATATCACTGATAACCTAATTTATTAATTAGCTAACTACATGCAAGATAAGGTTCTAACCGAAAATCCTTAAGTTAATTAAATTGTGACCTAGGTAAAATCTAAACAAAACTCAAAAGAATTTAAGTCATATCAAACCTCAGATAGTGAGGAGTCTTATTCTTATGAGCTAATTAACCTTAAGAAGCCAGTGCAACAGGTCTTGAAGAAGAGAAAGGACACTGTGCCTACTCAACACAACACCTGTATCCATTCAAATGAGGAGAGCTAATCAATTGACTCAAGTTTTATTTGTGATGATCATTTAATCACATCTAACCTCAAAATTTCATCAAATAATCTTTCAAGTTTTGCTAATAACACCAATACTATGTTTGAGTTTCACGAGGAGTCCCTTCAAAGCTCACCAAACGATGCAATCTTTGGACAGGACTTCAACTGGAACATGGGAGACGCCATTTATCCCAACGCTACCTCGTCTTTGCTCTTAGAAAATGAGGAAATGGACTTGGACAACATTATGCCATTTAATCCTGTACACTAGAGTCCCATGAACTTTAATCCTAATCGAACTAATGACATAAACACGGCAGCTTAGCACCTTAATTCCACTAGTAACATATATTATAACAATAGTCAGTCTAAGTCCTTGTATTAGAATGACTTTAACTAGGATTGTGAGATGTATATGGACAACTTTGATTCATCAAACTTCCTTTTGCAGTCCCCACTTGATCAATATTCACTTCAGTGAGGAGCACTATAGTCTCCAGCTTAATCCCTATTTCCTTTGCAAGATTAGCCCCATCTACCAAAGGAAAGATTAGATAGTTTATTAGCTTAATAATAACAACCTACTAGTTAATTGTTAAATTCATAGAATCTCTAATGATTAATATTTTATCACTTTGCTAAGTAATCTTAAATTTATTCAAATTACAGTAATTAAGGATATGGGGTTTTGGGGTTTTGGGGAGATCGGAAGAGC